ACAAGTGTTTAGTCGTGTTTACAAGCATCAAGCACTTGGGCATTAATTCATTTAATTGGCCAGAATGATAATTTATTCTGGCCATTGAAATGAATTAATGATTAAGCGCTGAACACAACTAGCGTTTAGCCTTGTCAAGTGTTTTTCCTGCCAAAACACTGCTGCTCCTGGACGCATTGGCCCTGGTTTTTTCTCCTGCTGGTAAATATTACTGCTACTAAAAGCTTCTAAACATCTATGTGTGCATGGACACATAGGATAACATAGAAGGCCATTTGGAAGCAGTAAAAAAAAAAAAAAAGCCTGACACCTCTAAATGTGGCTGCAAAAATGCCCTATGTGCATGAGGACTATTGGGCCTCTTCCTTCCGGATACAACACCTGCTGCTTACACTGCAGAGCACAGGCAGTTGCTGGCAACATCTCACTGGTATAGCATGCAAGAATCTGGAAACTCACCACTGTACCCACATCCAAACACCACTTGCAATGTTTGGTAGCTTTTTTTAGCTCAAGGTAGCACTTACCAGTGAGTAGAGTCCATGCCAGAAATTATTGTTTAAAGGTTTAGTGGCCCAGTTTTATTAAAGAAAACAAAAAAAAAAGTCCATACAATTTATGTTTCCCATGAAGGGGTATTCACCATCAATGCAAAACAAAGATTTAGCCTCCTGGCTGTCTTTAGCAGCACCACTGCTCAGGCTTTATGCTCTGGTCCTCTTGACCATATAAGTCTCCCTGTATTCACGTACACTGTACCCTGGTTGGCACTCCTTCTTTCATAGCATTCTTGCTTCTCCAGCCCACAGCCTTGGGCCCTCTCTCTGCTCTGTCAGACTACACTGTGCTAACATGCACACTTGTTGCTTCTCCCTTGCACCCACATGGACTCCTTGGGAGGGTGGAGCCCAACCCTGGTCCTGTCTCTACAAAAATCCCAGACTTTACCTGCACAGTGGCCTGGCTATTCCTAAACCCTGGTCCCAGGATTGCAGATTTGCTCTCACCCAGGTCACTGCGAAATCTTTGGGCTCCAGATCCCAAACAGAGTTTTACCAAGGACCGAGGAAACTGAAAACACTGTTTCCTCCAACTTAAACAAGCACCCTGGAGCCCCTCAACCTTCCTTGTTGAGAATCCTGGGTGACATAATATCCTTTTTACATCATAACAGATCACCACACTGTCATACCTCCTAAAAGATTTTTGGCAACTCCCATTCTCAGGCAAGAAGACAAATCAGATGCGCTATTATCGGTTCCACAAGACATGCTGAAACAGAATGTAATTTTCCTACATTCCAAAGGACGAAAGCAGAGAAACTTTCTGAATAAAAAAGTGCAGCGCTAGAAAATAAATAGATAAAATAAATGAATAGTCAATATACTTGATAGGTACTCCAAAGTCAATACAAAGTCCCAAAAAGAAATGGACGGCTTCAGACGTCCATACACACAGATCAATGATGTATATACTGTGGTAAAGATGCAGTTGAAGATGGGTAGATGTGATCCCCGGATCAATGAAGATCCCCAGGTCTAAGAAGCATACGTTCCCAAGATAATAAGGAAGCAGTCACAGCTACACCAAAGGAAACCACCACTCCTTCACTTTACATCCACGATATCTAAGAGGAGAAACTCCTCACAAAAAAGAAATGCCCATAGTAAGGTATAATATATGACATTTATTGAAGTAAAAACAGGATGCATCCAGGTTAGGTAAAAACGTATAGATAACACCGCCAACAAATATTGCATATAGTTAGCAGCCAAAGCAAACAGGACTAACCGTCCTGTCAGATGTAGTGGCCGCCGGAGCTCCCCAGTGCTCCGACGGCGTGGCGTCAAGGCGTGCGTAGGTTCCTCCTTACGCGTTGCGTGCCAAGCACATCTTCAGAGGAAAGAACCGGTTCTTTCCTCTGAAGATGTGCTTGGCACGCAACGCATAAGGAGGAACCTACGCACGCCTTGACGCCACGCCGTCGGAGCACTGGGGAGCTCCGGCGGCCACTACATCTGACAGGACGGTTAGTCCTGTTTGCTTTGGCTGCTAACTATATGCAATATTTGTTGGCGGTGTTATCTATACGTTTTTACCTAACCTGGATGCATCCTGTTTTTACTTCAATAAATGTCATATATTATACCTTACTATGGGCATTTCTTTTTTGTGAGGAGTTTCTCCTCTTAGATATCGTGGATGTAAAGTGAAGGAGTGGTGGTTTCCTTTGGTGTAGCTGTGACTGCTTCCTTATTATCTTGGGAACGTATGCTTCTTAGACCTGGGGATCTTCATTGATCCGGGGATCACATCTACCCATCTTCAACTGCATCTTTACCACAGTATATACATCATTGATCTGTGTGTATGGACGTCTGAAGCCGTCCATTTCTTTTTGGGACTTTGTATTGACTTTGGAGTACCTATCAAGTATATTGACTATTCATTTATTTTATCTATTTATTTTCTAGCGCTGCACTTTTTTATTCAGTTCTATGTGAGGATTTTTTGGTTGTCCTATGTGTTCTAGCTGCTCGTCTTTAGAAAGCGCTCACTTTCATTTATTGAGAGAAACTTTCTATTCTCACGTTTTTTAGGAAAAGACCTTCGGGAAACTTCAGAATGATCTTGATTCAGAAAGAGGTGATCAAATTCGTCCAATAAAAAAAGTTTAGGATGGATTCGATATATTTGATCAAGGAATTCATTCTGGCCGGATCAATCATGGTGTCTCTACAATTAAAAGACTCTTACCTGCATGTTCCCATCAGGGAAGAATCAAAGAATCCGTTACCTGGACAACCTTCTAATTTTTGCAAGCACATCGGCTTCAACAAAAGAAAGTCTAGAATCCATGCAATCTTATCTCTAGGAGACAGGGTGGATTACCAATGTTGAGGAGTCACAGCTAGTCCCATTAAAGAGGCTGGTTTACCTGGGTTACCTTCTGGATTCAGAGAATTCAAGAATATTTGTGACGGAAAAAATCTGAAACCTCCAACAGGGTTCAATAAAGTTTCTAGAATCCTCGGACTGCTCGATAAGAGAAGCCAGGAGACTGACTTACTGGATGACAGCCACAATCCTGGCCCAGTTACATACAAGTACTCTACAGAACTACATTCTATCAAAATGGGACGGTCACCAGCAATTGCTAGATGAAAGAGCTACCATCCCTGAGGCAATGAAGGATGCCATCACATGATGGATTTTTCCTCTGACCTTGATGATGATTATTATTATTATACAGGATTTATATAGCGCCAACAGTTTGCTCAGCACTTTACAATATAATGGGAGACAATACAGCAACAATACAGTTCAATACAAGAGGGATAGGAGGGCCCTGCTCCTCGAAGTTTACAATCTAGGAGATAGATCAACCATAGAAACAAGTGAACTCCTTAAGAATAACCACAGACACGATTGCCTGGGGGTGGGGAGTGCACCTTGGCGAACATCTAGCAAAGGGAAATGGGATAATTTGTGGTCTACCCGTTCCTCAAACTTGAGAGAGCTAAAAGCAATGGGGGAAGCTCTAGCAGCATTTGAACCTCTGATTTGGAGGAAGCATGTTCAGATCCTAACCGACAACAGAGTAGGCAGTGGCATACATCAATGGTCAAGAAGGCACAAGGTCAAGCAGCTTTATGACAGTGACAGAAGAGATGATTCTGTGGGCAGAGAAAAATCTGTTGTCCATAACAGCAGTTCACCTAAAGGGCGAACTAAATTGCTTAGCCAACAGCTTGAGTTGACATCAATTGAAAAAAATGGGTGGAGTCTGAACCAAGAAGTCTTCACACAGATATCCGAAAAATGGAGGGCCCCAGATATCAATCTCTTTGTTTATAGGAGCAAAAGGAAGGTGGAAATATACTTCTCCTTGCAATGGGCAGATGCACTGGCTCATCAGTGGAACGGAGAACTGCTGTAAGCATTTCCACCTATTTGGTTAATCCCCCAAGTGAGTCAAAAGATATGGAAGTCAAGTGTCAAGGTCATTCTCATTGCGCCATTCTGGCCAAGGAAACCTTGGTTCTTGGCACTGTACAAGCTGAGCTTGGAAGAACCTTGGAAGTTACATCAAAGATCAGATCTTATTCACCAGGCGGGAGTGCATCACCCAGCAATGGGGAGGTTAACTCTTTCAGCGTGGCTACTGACAGGGAACTATGAGAAAGAAAGGGGCTCTCGCTCAGAGTAATAAACACTATTCTGGAAAGTAGAAAACATTCTACCAACTCTAGTAAAGACAAGATTCTGCCAACTCTATTTATGGAAAAGTCTGGAAAAAATTCTCAGCATTGAGAAAGACTAAGTATCACCCTGGCAATTCTCTGATCAATCCAGTTCTAGAATTCTTGCAAGATGGAACTGGCATTACTGGCATTAATCTGGCAACAAGCACCCCCTAAAGTTCATGTGGCAGCCCTGTCTAGATTTCTTAACCCTCTCCCGTCAACCATATAAGGCAATGATGGGCACATGGCGGTTCTCTCGTTCTGGGAGAACGTCATATAATGTCCTCCCATTCTAACCGTGCATGCGTGGTACTAGACAGTGTTGTCCACTCTCTCACCTACTTTTTGGACTGGCGATTGAACCCCATGCTATCACTATCCGGTTCTCACTCTGGTATTACGGGTATTCAATGTGGCCGGCAGGAGCACAAGTGTGCCCTGTTTGCTGATGATGTCCTTATGTATATCTCAAATCCCCAGGTGTCCGTATCCAATCTGTTGACTTTACTACATCAATTGTCTCAAGCTTTGGGAGTCTCTTTAAACTCTTCTGAAACGACTGCTCTCAACATTACTTTATCTCGTTCAGAGGTACAGACTCTTCAGGACAATTACAACTTTCAATGGGCTACCCACTCCCTTCCCTACCTGGGGTTCATCTTACACACTCCATTAGGACTCTTTATCATGCAAATTACACCCCTCGCGGCGATCGGTGGTGCGCTGTGTCCCTCGGATCACCGATCAACGGAAAGAGCCGAAGATTTCGTCTCGGTCATGTGATCAGCTGTGTCCAATCAAAGCTGATCTCGTGTAACTAGGGAAATGCTGATTATCGGCATTTCTCTTCTCACGAGCTGTCACGCTGACATCTCGAGAGGAGAGAAGAGCCGGTAATCGGCATTCCTCAGAGGGGACATGTACACTGATCATCAAGGCACTGATGATCAGTGTGCCCTGATGATCAGTGTAGCCCCAGCAGTGCCACCTGTCAGTGTCCATCAATGCCACCTGTCAGTGCTCATCAGTGCCACATATCAGTGCCTACCAGTGCACATCAATGCCACATATTAGTGCTCATCTGAGCTGCCTTTCAGTGTCACCTATCAGTGTCAGTCAGTGCCACCTATCAGTGCTGACTATCAGTGCCCGTCAGTGCTGCCTATCAGTGCCACCTAACAGTGCCTATCAGTGCTGCCTATCAATGCCATATATGAGTGCTGCCTTTCAGTGCCCATCAGTGATGCCTGTCAATGCCCATTAGTGCCACCTATCAGTGCCATCACTGCAGCCTCATTAGGGCATATCAGTGAAGGAGAAAAATCACTTATTTACAAAATTTTAAAACAAAAACTAAGAAAAATTTTTTATTTTTTTTCAAAATTTTCAGTTTTTGGTTTGTTTAGCAAAAAAATAAAAATCCCAGAGGTGATTAAATACCACCAAAAGAAAGCTCTATCTGTCTCAAAAAAAATAATAAACATTTCATATGGGTACAGTGTTGCATGTCTGCACAAATGTCATTCAAAGTTCGACAGCACTGAAAGCTGAAAATTGGCCTGGGCAGGAAGGGAGTATAGTCGGCTAGTGGTTAAAATACACCTAGCAGAGGTCCCCTTAATTAAGCATTTTTTTTGTCAGTGTCAAGAAAAAAGGCTCCTAGCAGAGCTAAGTTTCCAATTTGGGTTTTGGGTACTGTCCTCAAAGGATTTCAAAAAGCTCACTTTTAACCCTTAGAAAAATGCTCCATTAAGTTTCTAACGTTAAAAACGGTCCTTCTGGTGGCTTTGGTTTCCATAAGACGAATTTGCAAAATCCAAGCTCTATGGGTGGCACCTGTGTAGACAAAAATCCTTGCTCCAGCCCTAGTAACAGGTCTGATGTACACTAGGGAAATTCAGAGAACTGAGACATACTATAGACAAAACAAAGTTGTCTTTTTTAATCTAAACAGCTCACCTTCATTCTTTAATTGAACCAAGCAGTGTGGGTCAGTTATCACAAAAATCATTACCAACAGAGTTATTCAAGTCTATCATCAGTGGACATATAAGCTGCCTTTATTGATGACATCTTACAAAACACATACACTAGTAAATGAGTCCCGGCATTTGGAATATACATGAGGGAAGCTCTTTGCTTGTTTTTTTCAGTTTAAAAAGATAATTTTAGTAAAATGTTTGTTTTCTGTGCAGTTTATTAGAAGCATGAATATGTAGTCTTGTTTTTTTTTCCTGACACATTATGGCAGCATACATTGGCTCCATCCACTGACCCTAATAGCATTGGAGGTCTTTAAGTTTAAGGCGGATTACTTAGCACAGCATATTTCTTTTCGTCCTCACCATTAGGATTGGATTGCAGATTTCTGTTTATTGTCCCAGCCAGATTCAGCCTCTCCTGGATGGAAGTTCCTTCTGTACTGTCTTTAAACCAGCTAGATAAAGGAAGCCCTACTTGCACAAGCTTAGAGGACTGTGGCAGCGTTGCTGCATACCATCATTTTCATATGGTGGTTTTTTTATACTCCATCCTCCCCCCCCTCCTCTCTGAGCAGCAGTGTATGGCAGCATCTCCCTTTCTCAAGATGGCACCAGCATAATGGATGCCATTACGGCGTATGTGCGGCCATCCTATGAATGTTTCCAGTGCGTAGGCCACTTCCTATGGGGTGCCAGCACGCAATATACTACCCATAGTGTGAGAAATGGAAAACACATAAGTGCGTGGATGACATCATCACAGGAGGCCAAATGCACAGATTTTAGAAATCCTTTGTGGCGATTTTCATATGTGGAGCCCTGGATGCATGTCCACCCTGTGGTTGCTGTGTTTGCCACTCTGGTAAGGGGGTCTTGATGTGCACTGTGGTGGGCTGTGGTCGTGTGTGTGGGTACTGTAAGCACTTAGTCCCCATTCTCTGCTTCAGCCTGTCTTTCTGGATTATCCTCTCTCCCTTCACCATAAAGACACTATCCTGTCAGATCACCAGTTGCCTTTGATTTAAGGCAGGGGTCTCAAAACTATGGCCCTCCAACTGTTGAAGTACTACAAGTCCCATCATGCCTCTGGGAATCTTGTCTGTGGCTGTCAGAGTCTTGCAAGGCCTCCTCAACACCTGGAGGGCCATAGTTTGGAGACCCCTGATTTAAGGAATTCTTTAAGTAGTGATGTTTTCCTAAAAGAGAATGCATGGTCTAAAATGCTGTCATAATGTCTTGACAGCTGTTCAAGAGCCTTAAGACTACAAATTTCCTGCCATCTTGGGCATTCCTTGGTTTTCTAGCCATAACCCCTCCATCAACTGGGGAGAACGGACTATAAATTTTACATCCCCCCATTGTGAGGAACATTGTAGATAACATTATCAAATAAGTTTTCCACCAATCAAGAAATCACAAGTTGATGTGGTAACTATCCAGTCACATGACAACCTGCCTTCACAATACCATGTGTTTCGGGATGTTTTTGATAAGAAGAATGCCGATCAGTTACCTCCTCATTGCCCATACCTTTTTAATCTGTCATAATCTGAATTAATGGTGCTCAGAGAATGGCCTAATGAGAATTTAGAGGAGGGCTTTATCAGACCCTTAACGTCTCTTGCAGGGACAGCCCTGTTCTTTGTTCAGAAAAAGAACTCCACCTTGCACCCATGCATCGATGCATTTTATTAAAAACTGTTATCCGCTCCCTCTAATCTCTGATATGCTGAAAAGACTCCGTTCTGCCAAAGTCTTTACAAAGCTTGGGGAGTACTGTCAGAGCCTGGACTTGAACCCGGGAACTCTGCTATGTCTGGCAGTAACTCTTCTCACCAAGCCATGTCTTTGCACTTGCTGTTTGCCAGGTTACTGTGCCTTCTCCAGCCAATATCTCGCTCTTGTCCCTCCTGCTGCCATCCGTACTTTTGCTACCACTGGTTACTGACCTTTGGCATGTTCCTCGACCTCGCTTCTGCCCAATCCCAACCTTCGGCTTGTTTACTGACTAAGCTTCTGTTTGATCCCTACCTGCTTTCTCTGCTACTGGACCATGGCTTGCTCACCTCCTGGTGGGGAGATCCTGAGAACCACGACCTAGTACTAACACGCAACAAAACCCATCTGTAAGGGACCGCCCGGCGGTACTACTAGCACTCCACTGAATAGGCGTCCCCAGCGCACGGAGTCTAAGTCCCAGGGTGCTTGTTCACCAGGGCCCCTGATGGTGGGGATGGACTTGGAGCTCCCTGAGACCAGGTCGTGACTACCGGGTGCGTCCGTCAGTGGTAGTAGTATGCGCAAGGGGCTCCCACGGGGAAGAGTCTGATGTGAGGAGGTCAGAAGACCCCACTGCACGGGATGGATGGATGGATGAGCAGGGTCAGACGGGCCGGGTCGGTAACAGAGAGGGCGGCAAGGTACAAGGCAGCGGGCATAGAATGGTCGGGTCACACGCCAGGTCAGCAACAGCAGGTCAAATCCAATAGGGGGCATTCAGGAGAGAGGTCAGGCAAAGCAAGGGTCAGAACAGGCGAAAACAGCAAGGTCAGGTACAATCCGGGTCAATAACTTACAGGGTACAGGTTCACAGGATTCAGAATGCAGGAAAGACCAGAAGGCACTGAATGACAGCTCAGGGCCGTTTAAATATCCCGCCCTGCGCTGCCATTGGTGCCCAGCGGGCGGCCGCGGCTTCTACTGCGCATGCGCGAACTCGAACGCCGCGGCTGGCCCGGAACCAGTGCTCGAGTCCCTGCGCCGGGCGGCATACTGCGCCTGCGCCGGGACCAACGCGGCGGGGATCGAGGGGATCCCTGACACCATCTCTACAATCAGGAGTCCTGGTGAACGCCGGTTAGTGCTTAGACCCTGCACCTCAGGTGAGCCTGCATCATCTGCCAAGGTGACCTGTTTGCATACCATCCTGCTGATTGGTGGGAGCTTTTCCGCTGCTGTAGCTACTAGTCTCCAAGCCTGACACCTAACCATGACAACGATACTTGCCTGACTGCTTTGTGCCCAGTGTAAAATTTGGTGGAGGGGGATTATTTTGTGGGGTTGTTTTTCAGGGGCTGGGCTTGGCCCTTTAGTTCCAGTGAAGGGAACTCTTAAGGCATCAGCATACCAAGACAATTTGGACAATTTCATGTTACCAACTTTATGGGAACAGTTTGAGGATGGCCCCTTCCTGTTCCAACATGACTGCACACCAGTGCACAAAGCAAGGTCCATAAAGACATCAATGAGCGAGTTTGGGGTAGAGGAGCAATATTGAACCTTACAGACTAAGACTGGGATGCCATTAAAGTTCATGTGCATGTAAAGACAGGTGTTCCAATACTTTTGGCAATATAATTTAGTATAGCTGGGAATTGCACTCAAGAACTAGACAAAACTAGCTTAGGTGCAAACAGGAACTCTACTTATTTTTATTGAAAATTCACAAAGAATTTATACCACACAAAATCAGATAAGAGCTTGATCACACTATCCTAAACAATGCAAACGTTAAACAGCAATATCATCAGTACATCTAACAGTACATCTAATTAACAGCTAGCAGCTAACAATAACCTAATTAAACAGTGATCAATTTAACAGTAAGCTAATTAACAGCCAGGCACCCAGACCAGCTTTGATTTAGTCAGAAAGCCCACCCCATACATTCTGGCAACAAGCCCACAACCCTGGCTATACAAAGTAACTTACACATGCTGTCTTTCAGGTGTTTGGCTTTCTCTTGTGTAATCTGTCCACTAGAAGAGTCATCATAAGACAAAACTCATACAATGCTCCAGAAGTGTGAAAAAGCGGAATTAATTTATCTTCATAGATTTCTTGAGGGAGATTGTTGATAAATACTTCTGTCCCAAGTGGAGGAGCTTCTCCAACCCAGTCTGCAGTAGGGCCACCATATTTCAGGAAGGGAATGAATGGAAGACTGCATTTTGCACCCGTTTCAAACATTCTGAGTACTTGGTAATGCCCTTCAGACTCTGCAATGCCCGGACAATGTTTCAGCACTTCAATAATTTTTTCCGGGATTACTTGTGTGAAGAACCGTCCCTTTGTGATAACATTTTGCCCTTTCCATTCTGGTTTTATCCCCTTGTTAAGTGGCCTTCCCGTTCTACCTTTTTTAAAACCATATATGTTTAGCAGCTGTTATGTAGACAGGAATTCTGCAGTTTGCTTGGATAATGGGGACTTGTAGCCTTTCACTTATCCAGATTTCATACTGTGCTGATTACTGCTGTATTGTACTGTAGAGTTTTGGGTGTGATTGGGGAAACCAGGTGCCAGACTG